TTTTGTGGACCTTAAACTGGATTTACATACACAATATAGCTGTATGAGAGGTGGCAGAACTAGCTTGCAAAAACCTGAGGTCAGAATGACTTCCACACCTGCTGAGTTCTTAAAAAAGAACTGAAAGAGTGCTACAGGGCAGTTTGCTGATTCAGCATGGCTTTACAGTTCCTGACCTTACCTTGCCATAAAAAAACAAACTGTTTCATCTCAGTGTAGTGGTTTTGTTCACCTAGTCTTGCTATGGTCTAGATCAAAAATTGCATGTAGATTTTTTTCAAAATCAGAATGGGGGAGATGCGTTAAATTAGGGTGGTTTTTTTTTTCCAGCTCCTTTCAAAATAAATTGTTACCTTTATTTGAGTGTGTGCTACTTTGAATAACTATGTAAATAACCTAGGGTTCTAGTTCAGCAACATATACTAAGTATTACCCTTCTGGTTTGCTTTTTTGTTAACTGTAAAGGAGGTACGTATAGTTGTGTGTCTGTTATAGTAAGTTAAATTTTTAACATCCAAGAAGAGGTCTTTTTAACTGAGATGAAGCTTTATCATTTAGTGGCATGTAGGCTTTATGTGAGATGTGGATAATTCTGTATTAAAGATGAATGTAACTGACTTAGTTGAGTATCGTTGCTGGGGAAAAAGTACTTTTCCGTGGCATAATTAACTGTTGATGGTTCCTATGCCATGGACTGGCCTCTTTAATGTTCGCTTCAAACGTCATTTGTATTTCAGATTATATAGCTGACATGACACTTTTCTCAAAAGTGTGTTTTAGCACATGGCTAATAAACCAACTCTGCCAGGGAAAACTGCCATGAAATATGCAAAAAGATTGTATGTTCTGGAACAGTGATTGATATTAACAGACAGTGGTGCAATGTTTGTGGTCTGATAGGACACATTCCTCAGCTAGTGAGGCTGCATAGCGAAGATTGCTCTCGGGAAAAGTCCCTGGATTCTTTGGCTCTTAGACAACAAAGTCATACCAGTGACACGACGTATCGGGGGATTTGTAAAGGGGAAGGACTTGAGATGAGTTTTGGTTTTGTTTTTCTAAAATGTTGAGTTATGTGTTCGGAAACGGACTTTGACTGTGACAGAACTTTTTTTTTTTTTTTTCAGTTATCACTGTCGTTCTCTAAATTTAATGCTTATTTTGAAAGTATATTTGTGGACAAGGAGCAAGAAAATAAAAGACAATGTTTTACTGATGCCAAATCTTTATGAAGTCATAGAAATTGTTTCTATTCTCCATGCAGTTTAGAGTATGTGATAGTAGCCATTGTGAAACCTGGTTTTAATTCTCACATGCTGGAGCCATAGAACTTCCGTGTGGAATGACACTACTTGCCAGTGGCTTTCACTAAATGGCATCAGTGCATCCGATTCTTCTGGAGACTGGGATGAACACGGGCCAGCAGAATCTCATCTACATTCAGCTGGGTCCCTGATAGATCTTTAATGAATCTTCATTTGCAGCTCACCTTTTGTAGAGTGAAGTATTCCGGCTAATTGCATGCACTAAAAGCAAAAATCAGTATTTGTAGAGAATATGTACCTAAAATAGGTGTGTTTTGTATTTGGTTAGTTTTTTTTAGCAGTGCTGTCAGTGAAGAGGAACATGATGTCCTGAGAGGCAGCCATCTTTGAAAAGTAAAAATACTAACGATTAAAATAGCTCATATGGATGTGTGTTCAGTATTTTTTAATGCCACAGATACAAAATTGGCACCTATGTGATGTCTTGTTTTAAGTTCAGTTGTTTTTTTCCGGGTGCCAATAAACCATTGAATGTTCTTTTTAATAGTAAAGCAAAACAAGAGAGCAAGTGACAGGTTATTGTAGCACCTGGAGGTTTATTATGACCATTCATTACACACATGCCTTCATGTAGCTGTCCTTACTCCACCTCACGTTCCAGTTTCTCTGGAATCACCTTTCTTTCAGTGGCATGGGAAGGGAGTTGTTGTAAAGAGTTTGGAAGTCCTTTATATTCCATATAATACGCATAGAAGTGTTTATGTCGCTCTGAGAATTATGAACTGAGTGGATTGAGGGGAGGCTTGGTTTGGAAAGATACAAGGTATTTTGCTTATGCTGCCTTGTATCAAAAGCAGAATTTATTTCCAGTCTGAATCTCTGCTTCGAACCACTAAAGGTGATCAAGTAGCTCATCCTCATGGTTGATTGGTGTCTGATGCTTGAGATGTTAATAAGGATGATACTTGTAAGATTTTAAAAGACCAAGATAATGGTATAGATGTTGTGGTCCTATCCTTTAAAATTTGTTATAGTTCAAAGAATCCAGTGAAAATATTTTAATCCTACATACTAATATAATTTACACTTCTAGGGAGCTTTTGTAGTTTGCTACAGTCATGGGCTCAGTCCTGATTTTTTAATGAAGGAAAGACAGTTATTTTATTAAACTTCAGTGTGTGCCAGTTTTGTACACTGCTGTTTTTTGTTGCTTTTTGCCTTCAAGACACAACATTTTTGTGTTCAACCTGTTTTGTTATTCCCATTAGTTCCTTGATAGTTCTTAAGCAATTTCCATATTTTTTTTATTGAAACGTCCCTGTTAAAGCTGCTTCCCTTTAAAGGATAGTTACCATTTATCATGAGAAAGGGAAACTAATCCTTCATTTTTAAAATTTTAGGATTAAATGCTTTGCAGTTTCCAAACACGAAATACATTGCAAATATTCACTATCGAAAGGGTAGCTGTTAAGCTCATTATCGTAGTCATTGTGGAGAGACATCAGTTTGCACTTCCAAGTCCATTTTATGCAGACTGTAATATGACCTTATTTGTAGGTGAGTTAAAGGTTATTGAAACGGAAAGCTTTCTTCAGCACGTTCATAACACGTTTAAGTACAGGAGTACTTCCACTGACATTAATGTTAGGCATTATAAGTCAATACTGTGCTGAATTAGGGTCTAATGTCATTTGGTATGTGTTGCAGAAGTGTGTCTATTGATGTCACTTAAGAAAAGAAGGAGTTTAACAGACCTGGAGCTGTAGTAGAAATTAATACCAACAAATACATTTTATTTTAAATGTATTTATTCAACCGTTACTTGACAGTTGAAAAAAGAAACCCACATTTTTTTTATTTGAAAGTGTATTTGTCTCCTCGGGATTTCAGGGACATGGGTCAGAAAGATGCATGCTGATATTGCAGCGTCAGTTACTCCCAGTTCATCAAAACGCACTCCACAAACCTAACATTTCAGTTGGACCAGATGCGAGTGGTGCTTCTCTGGGTTTTCTGCACCCTGTAGGTTTTTCTTGCACCTGAAGTTAAGTCAAGTTTGTTGTTCATTTAAAGTCAAGAGCTAGAAAACAAGCTGCACTAATCAAATCTGTGTACAAATGCATGAACAAATGTCGTGTCCCAGGCTGTCCCTTTTACAGTTGTTTATACTGGAACGTACAGGAGATACTTACTAGGGAAAGTTTAAGGTTGGAGAGGAGAACCTGGTGCTGTAGGAGTGAGCTGGGCAGCATTGTGTGCTTAGATGGAATGTTGACTACACTTCATACCATCAAAAGAGCTCTTGGTCCTACTAAAAGAATAGAAAGATAATTTTAGATTGTTTCACTGGTACTAATTTGCTCTGCTGCAGTAACTGAGACAAATGTTTGGTTTTGATAAATGGATAGGGCATTTTCAATTGTTTTCAAAGAATTAATTTATTTGCTTTATGTAGGGAGTAATACACTGAGTACCAAGTAGGTAAGAAGTGTTTTCCTAAGAGTTTAACGGATTAAGTTATGTAGATCTATGCAGTTGTCTTTGATAGAAGTGCTGCAAAGAATGTATGAAGCAATATTGACATGCCAGTGAAGATAAAGCAGAAATGTATCTTGGCAATTTGAATAATGGAGTAATTGGGTTAGAAGGGACCTCCACAGATCACCTGGTCCAGCCCCATGAAGCAAAGCTCTTTCAAAGTTAGGCGAGGTAGATCGGGACTTGTCCAATTGAGTTCTGAGTATCTCCAAGGATGAGGTTCCACAGCCTCTGTGGACAAACTGTTCCAGACCTTGGCTGCCCTTGTGAATTTTTTTTTCCTGTTTGTAAAATAGGAATTTCCCTCATTGTAGCTCATGTCCATTGGCTTGACCTTGAGGAAAATTATGTTGTTTTCCCGTTATAAAAGGTAGAGTTAGTTTTTAAGGATTACAATTCACTTCTCCCTGGGAAATTAATTTGATGTCTGGAGTTTTCAATGCTTAGGAAAGGTGGGCAAAGGATCCTGTAATAATGTTAAGGTTAGTTTCCTCATATTGAAAATACAGTACAGCATTTAGTGTACCAATGACATTTCTCATTATTGTAAGAAAAAGCACGTTTTGTTTTCTTTCTAAGTGAACTCTTGCAAAGTTGTTACTCTGCGGATGTCACTCCATGTAGGGCTCCGTTCTGTTGGTTTGCTGTTGTATAGTTAATGCCGATAGTTGCTGCAGTAATGCATAAATGGTCACTTGAAGCTGTTTTTATCAGAAAGATAAACTGTGAGTTGGACGGGCTTACTTCAGGCTGGGTTTAGTTTTAAAACATAGTTGCCATCTGTTTCTTAGGTGATTGTAGAATGAATTGGTACCTGGTTAAAGGTCACTGTAAACTTGCTGTGCTTGGGTTTTTCTGACTATTTAGATATTCTTCTTTCAAGTAAGTAAGTGTTCTGAATGAAGAGCATGTTTGGTGACTGTAAATGGCTGATTCTTGAAGCCTGTTTAATGATTTCTTCGACTCTGTTGCCTTAAACAGTAGGGTTTTTCCTCCCCTGTGCTGTCTTCAGAATACGAAGAGCATGAAACTTTGGAATGCTTTGGTTGATTATCTGACTACTGTAAAACTGTCTGAATTGCTGGTATTCTACTGATTGCATTACATCATTATAAAGATATTGTAAAACCTAATGGGAGTATTCTAAAACTTAACAAACTATGACTAAATAATATCTTTTTTTTTCCTTCTCTCTACAGGCTCATAAATCAGTGAACTTTGTTTCAACTCTGCTTCAGATCACTATGTCTGAGCAACTGGATTTACCAGTGAGACAGGCAGGCAAGTTTTAAAATCTTTTTTCTTTGTGTCTACTTTAATGGTCCATTGTATCTACTTTAATAGTGGATGCACACAAGTACACGTGCAGATGCTGTTAAAGAATTCTAATGATTTTAGTCTCAAATACTCAAAAGCTGGGAGTCACTTGAATTAGTCATCATGAACTATTAACTGGCACCATACATTAAATAGGGAAGACAAAGAAAGGGTGGCTGGCTTTCAGTGATTGCTCCCCTTTATCTCTAGTGGATAATGGTCTTAGGGGAAACAGAATGGTTTGTGATGTTAGTGCACTCGGTCCAAGGAGGTAATTTAACTTTGTATTAGTAATGCTAATATTTCTAAACATTTTAAGTGGAAGAAAACAAATTATGTCTTCTGGAACCCTGCTGATTTGCAGATGAGCCATCAGTAAAACTGGATATTGAATATTAGCAGCACCAAACATCACCTTAAAGCTGCTATGATTACTTGATAGAGGTTTCTAATACGATACTTCAGTGTTTTTTCTACACAGGTCAGGAAGCGTTATCTTGATCACTTATTTGGATCTTCCATATAGTAGATTATTCGAAGTTGTAGCATAAGCCTTACTTGCATTTTTATTTTATTGCTTGGGGCTACCATTCAGATGATGACTCAAAAAAGTTACTGATTAACATGTATAACCTGAAAATAGGAGGTTTGAAAACACCTCTGAAAATTCACCCTTAGTGTAAGCCAATTAAAAACCAAAGCAGTCTGTAGAGAGTGGAGACGACTCATACAACATATAGCTTACAAACAGTGCATGTTTTGCAAAACAGTTAATAGCATGATAAATCCCACTGAGGACAGATTGAAGTCTGCATCACTTCAGTCTTGTAATAGCACATATCTGATGAGTGTTCCTTACATTTGCAGACCTTTTCAGAAACCCTTTGGTTTCTGAATCTTCAGAAGGTGCATATGAAATGGGAAGAGAATTTGCTTTATGGATTTGTTCATAGAATTAGATTAATAGTAACTTTGTTATTAGTTTTTAATTCAAGATTTCTTATTGCATTTTTCAAGTCCTTTTCTCTGCAAGTGCTGTAATCTGTATTCTGCCACATAAGCAGTTTGGATTTGGTTGTCAAATGGTAAATGCAGCCATTTGTGCCAGCAGCCTGATTGCTACAAAGTGCTGTGGCCCATAACCTTGATATAAGGGAGATCTGTTTCTCTTTAGCATTCATTCCTGTATCACAATCTTAATTAGATTTTTTTTGCTTACAAGGGATGTTTTAGATAGTCATTAGTATTGATTAACTTTGTTTTAATGAAAATACTGAGAAAATAATTATAAAGGATTTTCAGAAGTGTGTTGCTAAAATGTTCCACAACTATCTGTAGCACAGAAAAAAGCAATACGTTTAGTGTTTTTATATGAAAATGCATTCTTTACAGAGCTAAAAATACACACGTCACAGTAAAAGGGTAAAAGAGTATCAACCTATTAAATTATTAGGTTAAAAATTTGCATGGTTTATGTATTTTGATTCTCCTACTCAGAAAAACAGTCAACGAATTAGTCATTTTAATCAGTTTTGTTCTAAAATGGGTTTGTTTGCCAGACGTGTTTGTTTTGTACTTTGAATGGCTATCAGCTGATTTACCACTTTTGTCTCATAGGGGTTATCTACTTGAAAAATATGATAACCCAGTATTGGCCAGACCGTGAAACTGCTCCAGGAGAGATTCCACCTTACTCCATCCCAGAAGAAGATAGACATTGTATTCGTGAAAATATTGTAGAAGCCATTATTCACTCTCCTGAGCTGATTAGGTATGCAATTTTAACCTGTTTATGAGTTGGCTGTGGTTTCTGGCTGTTGGGGGCACTTTTTTTTTTTTTAACAGCTAAGATCACCTATGTTCTAAGCATCAGTTGTCATACACTGTGTATCCTAAGCATAGAATTAAAGTAGATGGGAAAACAGTTTTCAGCTTGTGCAGCATGTAGAAATTTAAAGTTTCTCAAATTGAGAATATTAAGCAGAAAGTACAGAACCTGAACCTTATAAACAAAACTTTATAAGTTTAAATTTGAGCATTATTGACAGTTTCAACGCCATTAGAATATTAAGATAAGAATAGTAACTTAATTATTGTGCATTTGATTTCTAGAGTACAGCTGACTACTTGCATTCACCATATTATCAAGCATGATTATCCTAGTCGCTGGACTGCAGTTGTGGAAAAAATTGGATTTTATCTTCAGTCTGACAACAGTGCTTGTTGGCTTGGAATTCTCCTTTGTCTTTATCAACTTGTGAAAAACTATGAGTAAGTTTTTTCTACCATATAAACCAGCAGAATTAATATATTTGAGTGTATTTTTTGTATTCTGTATGTATATTGTAACCATGTAGAATTGTGTGTGGGATTGTGCAAAGGTGATAGAAATCCAATTTTAGAAAATATTCTTGAATACTCACTATGCAGATGTTGGCTCATGTATCTTTTCCAATAAGGAATTGCAGCAAAACTGCCTTTAGTGAAGGTTTGAGATCAGGAAAAAGACGATATTTTAAAGTCTTAATTTGGTAGTTGTTTTTTTATGGATTGATAGCAGTAAGAAAGTCTGTTTAAAATCAATACTTTTGCAGAAAATGATTATTTAAACCAAGTTTAGACTCTTAAACACGTACTCCAGGTATCAGTGACATTAAACATAGAAAGGTTTCAAAGTGTGAAATCTTGGATGTTAGGAAGTTCAGAATTAGTTGACTGGCTTTGGTATGACCCTTCTGAAAATTTTGATAGCCTCATCCAGCCCATCATGGAAAATCTTTATCAAAGCCCACCGTTCTCCTATATGCAAGGCATTGAGCTAGGATACAGGTGAATATTCTTTGCTCTGTGACTGGTATTATGCTCGGAGCTTTAGAGTTGAGGTTGCACTTTGAGAAGTTATGTGGAGCTTAGCTGCTGCTACTGAGTTGGATTAGAGAAAAGTGCAATCCTGGAGTCAGGGAATTGTAGTAGTGGAACTGAAGGAATCGACAACTTTTGCAAAGCACTGTCATGGATAACATTTTTGTTTCAGGTACTTGATTTAAAATGTTGCATTGAAAAATGTCATTGTCTAATTCCATGAATTTTATGTAAATTAATGTAAAACAGGTGAATATCAGTTTCTCAAAAAACTTTTACAGGAATACTATAAAGACCTTTGTAACCCTATGTTGGAGTTTTTTCTGTGGCTGAAAATTGCAAGTCCTTCTAGGAAAGGAAAATAAACTAATTTCTCGCTTGATTTTCAAATTAAACATCTTTAACCAAATATACACAGCGGAGATGGGTGAGATACAAAGCATGAAGTGTTTGCTGGTAGTGTATTATGATTATAGCGATCCTTGTTTAGGGAAGAATTTTGATACGAGCACAGTCATTGCGTGATTAACTAAGGTAACAGGTGTGTTCATAATCTCAGTTGATGAAACAGTTTAGCTGGGGCCAGCAACTGCTCATACTTGTTTAGTTTTCTGGGTGAAGTCAACAAGGGCTGGTTTCACAAATAGTGTAGGAATACACACATTTCATTGTGTAACAATATGAGTGCATGCAGGTCTCTGTAAAATTTGTTAAATTATTTACGTCAGTTTTGGCGGCTTTTTTTTTTTTTTCTTAATGTGGGAGGTAAAAATCTTGGGACTTTTCAACGTTATTTCTTTTTCTCCAAATCCAGCCAGCAAGATCAAATGGCTGCTCTTTGCATAGTAATTTTTTCTGGTCTTTTTCAATTGTCTCTCTTGTGGAAATTAGAAACTGAATTTTCCTGAGCAACATTTGGTTCTTATGTTTAGGTTTCTATTTCAGAAAATACATGGAAACTATATTATTGAACAGGATTTTGGAGCTCAGTGTTCTGTAGTAGTTTTTACAGAACATGTCATCTGGTAGCAGATTGAGTTGACTTTGTCTTATATTTCTGCAAATTGACACTGTTTAAGAGGCTAAGCATTGATATTTAGTATTAGTGAAAAGTCTACCAAAAACGTATTTTGAAAAAAACCACAAAACCAAACCGAAACCCAATCTCCCAACCTGAAAATCTCCCACAGGAGTCCAGGAGTATTATGGTATTAATTACTTAATCTAAAAACCAAAGCTGTGAAGTCTTAAAGTGATATTTTACTCTGTTATTATTGTCATCACCAGTATAGACAAGATCCTATTCTGCTAACTCTTGAGTCAATAAGGACTTTCTTCTTTGTAAGTTAAAAGTTGGGGGCAATATTTCAAAATGCAGCTTCGCTTCCTTTCAGGAATTTTGAAATGTTTTGAGGGAAGGGAAATGGAGCTTTGTTTTCAGCACAGGCAAACTGGTGGACTGTCACCAGCATGGGAAGGTCTGAGGCACTATTTCAAGGAGGGTTGCAATTGAAGCCTACTCAGAGTTTGCCACATAGCGCCAAAGCCTACGTTCTCTATAAAATTGTTAGATGTGTTAACTAAAATAATTATACACAAAAAATATAAAAAATAAGTTAAATAGTAAGATGTGAGAGGCATCAGTAGTAAACTGTGAGAGATTCACAGTTTACTTTAATCGTAGAATCATAGAATGGTTAGAGTTGGAAGGGACCTCAAAGATCATCTAGTTCCAACCCCCCTGCCATGGGCAGGGAAATCCTCCACTACACCAGGTTGCCCAGAGCCTCATCCAACCTGACCTTGTACACTTGCAGGGATGGGGCATCCACAACTTCTCCGGGCAACCTGTTCCAGTGCCTCACCACCCTCTGAGTGAAAAATTTCTTCCTTAGATCTAATTTAAATCTCCCCTCTTTCAATTTAAAGCCGTTTCCCCTTGTCCTATCACTACACGCCCTTGTAAAAAGTCCCTCTCCAGCTTTCCTGTAGGCCCCCTTTAAGTACTGGAAGGCTGCAGTAAGATCACCGCGGAGCCTTCTCTTCTCCAGGCTGAACAGCCCCAACTCTCTCAGCCTGTCTTCATAGCAGAGATGCTCCAGCCCTTGGATCATCTTCGTGGCCCTCCTCTGGACCCGTTCCAGCAGCTCCATGCCCTTCTTGTGTTGGGGACTTCAGAGCTTAACGCAGTATTCCAGGTGGGGTCTCACGAGGGCAGAGTAGAGGGGCAGAATAACCTCCCTCGACCTGCTGGCCACGCTTCTTTTGATGCAGCCCAGAATACTTTCTTCAGTGTCAGTGAAGTAATTTAGGTTCTGGAAATATTTTGATAAATTTTGAACTCTGATAGATGTCTTTCTGGAATTTTACTGACTGGCCTAGCATCTGCCGTTCTTGGCAATAAATGTGTACCTTTTGCTTGCAGTTTTTGTAGTGCTCCGATTGCTTTTCACTATAGTAATGGTGTGGCTGAACATGATGTAGTATTCAAAGTGAGTAAGTTGGCAGGAGTGCATTACCAGCAGAAAACTAATGTGGGTATGTAGTGGATGCTACAGAGTAATGGATGCTCAGCGGTTTTCTCGCCTGCCTTTTAACTGTAATGTTTTCTGGCTATAGCTTTATTTCAAATTCTGTAACAAGAAATGGCTCGGGGTTTTTTTAAATCATATGTTGTTATGAACTGTAGTATAACCTACTTGTGTCTGCACTGGGGAATGGTGAACTTTTAAAATTCAAAAGCTACCTGAAAGATCTACAAAACTAGTTTGTTCTTATCTAAAGGTACAAGAAACCAGAGGAGCGGAGTCCTTTGATAGCTGCAATGCAACATTTTCTACCAGTTCTGAAGGAAAGTTTCATTCAGCTCTTGAGTGATCCATCTGATCAGTCTGTCCTCATTCAGAAACAGATCTTCAAAATATTTTATGCCCTTGTTCAGGTAAAAAATAAACTTTGTATGTACTTGATCAGTAATTTAATTTAAAGCATTATACTTTTCCTTAAAATAGTAAATGATAGAAATATTAACAATATTAGATTACATCTGAATAATTTTCCCTGCTACTGAACTGTGATATGAATCACAGGTTTTTGGTATGCATATTGTGCTGTACTTTTACTTTTGTACAGTGCTATTCCTGTTTGGCGTTAGATAGAACTTATGCATGCCATCCTCTAAGTTAGAGCATTTACTAGAAAACCGATTAGAAAATTTTCTAATGACAGACTGTAGAGACCAGCCTGCGTAGAATTACCAGTGTAAATGCAGTGGTTTGGAATGAAACAGTTAATATGCTGTTAATTGCCTCAGAAATTAGGGTAACATCATTTAAGTAGCATCTTAGCATTGCATAAGCAGAATGAATTGGAAAGACCTCTAGCACCTTTGAGGATATTGAGGATATAGGCTAGGTTGTGTTAAGTTCTTTAGCCTGGTTTTCTGAGTTATTTAATAGTCTTCATGGTAGCTAGGTGTAGACAAAGATTTGAAAGAGCTAAAATTCAAACTGTGAAAGTAATGTTATTTTCAAATTGCTTTATAATAAATGTATTTTGCCTTTTTCTTTTATTAAATAAGTACACATTACCTTTGGAGTTGATAAATCAGCAAAACCTGACTGAATGGATAGAAATCTTGAAGACTGTTGTCGATAGGGATGTACCAGCTGTAAGTGGCTTTTGGCTATTTGTCTTTAACCTTAAATATTTTTCATTCATGCAAACGTTAAAAAGTTTTAACTTTTTATTTCTGCTTTCTTTTATCTCAGTAGCTGCCAAGAAAATAAATTTGTAAGCTAAATAGGGTGTTTTAAACAGACTAGACAGGTTTTGAAAATATGTAGCTTGTATGAGAGTTCTGTTGCTTTCAAATTATAAATTATTTTGGCATCTTGTTTCAAGAATTTGTTGACTTTATGCAGCATATATCATGGTATTTATTTGTAGATATGCTGTACATTATACTTCTGTTAATCTAGAAGTGCAAACGGCAGGTTAAAAGCAAAATATGCTGTATAGTTCTTCAAAATACATATAATTTGAATTCTTTATGAATAGTTAGTAAATAATCTTCTTTTTTCTTCTTTTTCTTTTCTAAAGGAAACCCTTCAAGTTGATGAAGATGATAGACCTGAGTTGCCTTGGTGGAAATGCAAGAAGTGGGCTTTGCATATCTTAGCTAGACTTTTCGAGAGGTATTTTCTCTTCCAGCATTATTTTCAAAAAACAAAACAAATACTCAAGATAATAATATTGTTGCACCCTTGAATTTGCATGCCTGCTTCTAATTGTAGGTACGGAAGCCCTGGTAATGTTTCCAAGGAGTACAATGAGTTTGCTGAAGTGTTCCTGAAGGCATTCGCTGTTGGTGTTCAGCAAGTAAGAAACACTGAATGCGGGGCGGTATTAGGATAAATTTAGAGTTAGCAGTGATTTGTTGTTTCTGAAGAGGCTTCTTGATCTTCTTCACAATAATTTTTTTTTTAAGCACATTGATATGAAAAGCACTGACATCTGTGGGTTAAAAGAAAAGAATGATTAAAAAAGTTATTAATTTGCCACATAAGACAATCCACTGAAAATAGCGTATGCAGCGTTGATAATCTGTAAAAATAGAGTAAATGCTTTCATATAACAAGACATCAGATGGACTTCAGATAAACGCTATCAGTTTTTCTAGAAGAGATAGGTATAATATAATTTTGTTGTTTCAGGTAGGCAGTGAGGAATTAGTAAGAACCACTCCAAGGACAGTGAAGAAGGACTTCAGAGCCTTGGGGCGCCTGGTCAAGGGACCAGGAGCACAGGTTGTGTTCTTTATCCTTCCAGCTGTGGGAAATGATGAGGGATTAGGCAGGAAGTACCAGCAGATTAATACCTGGCTCCGAGCCTGGTGTGTCCGGCAGGGGTTTGGGTTTTTTGACAGCGGCTGGATCTGCAAGAGGCCAGATCTGTTAGAAAGGCATGGTAATAGCCTGTCCCACAGAGGGAGAAGAGTTTTGGGAAGGGAATTGGCAGGGCTCATAGACAGAGCTTTAAACTAGGTATGAAAGGGGGTGGGGGTGAAATCAGGATCACTGGAAGGGAGCCGAAATGCAGTATGCCAGTGCTTGTGGGGGAGGAATGCACTAGCAAGATCGTGCGGTCTTGTGAATTAGCAAGGGATCAAGGTGTCATGCCAGGTTGCAGACAGAGCACAGGGGTTGTTGAGGGGTTAGTTACTGTGGAAACATCTGAGCATCATCAGGGGGCTCCAGGTACCTCATCAGGGACCCAACTCAAATGTCTCTATATGAATGCCTGCAGCTTGGGCAATAAACAAGAGGAGCTGGAGATGCTTGTGAGTCTGCAGTGCTATGACCTGATCGGCATCACAGAGACATGGTGGAATGACTCCTGCGATTGGTGTGTTGGACTAGAGGGGTATAAACTGTTCAGGAAGGACAGGCAGGGGAGACGAGGAGGGGGTGTTGCCCTCTATGTCAACGAACAGCTAGAATGCATGGAGCTCCACCTGGCAAGTGATGACGATAGAACCGAGTGCCTGTGGGCCAGGGTGAAAGGAAGGGTAGGAGACTTTACAGTGGGAGTGTGCTACAGACCACCCAATCAGGAGGACCAAATGGATGAGGCCCTACATAGGCAGATAGGAGTTGCCGCTTGTTCACAAGCCCTGGTCCTCATGGGGGATTTTAACCACCCTGATATCAGTTGGAAAAACAACACGGCGGGGAACAAGCAATCCAGGGGATTCCTGGAATGCATTAATGATAACTTCCTTATCCAAGTGATAGAGGAACCAACGAGGAGAGATGCCATGTTAGACCTCGTTTTTGTCAGTAGGTAATGTTGAACTCATGGGTAGCCTTGACTGCAGTGACCATGAGATGGTGGAGTTTGAGATCCTAAGGGCAGCTAAGAGGGGGAAACTCAGCAAGCTTGAAACCCTCGATTTCAGAAGAGCTGACTTTCGCCCCTTCAGGAACCTCCTTGGTAGTGTGCCATGGGATAAAGCCCTGGAAGGACTGGGAGCCCAAGATTGCTGGTTGACTTGCAAGGATCATCTCCTCCAAGCTCAAAGGCATTGCATCCCTAAAAGGAAGAAATCAGGCAAAAACACCAGGAGACCTATATGGATAAACAAAGAACTCCTGGCTAAATTCAAATACAAAAGGGGATTACACAAAGCATGGAAGCAGGGACTGGTAACCTGGGATGATTACGGGGAAGTTGCTCGTGTACTCAGAGACCAGGTTAGAAAAGCTAAGGCCCTGACAGAGTCAAATCTGGCCAGCGATATTAGAAATAACAGAAAAGGATTTTATAGGTATGTGAGAGAAAAAAGAAAAACGAGAGA